CCCCAAAACCCCAAAACCCCAAAACCCCAAAACCCCGAATATGGGTCAAATAATTGAATAGTAAGCATTTTATTCTCTAATTTGATCGAGTATGGCATATCTCCTCTTCTCAAATTTCTTTCGTTTGGGCTCTTTTATTTCATCTTCATCCTTCTTACAGCAGAAAAACAGACATCCCAGGCTCTATAAAACCAATAAGCAATACTGTTGCCTTACCAACTTCTTGGTCCATTCACATTTCAATCTGAACCAATTATCAAATCTTCTTCTCTTCACTCTAAAAGCCTTATCGATCAACTCCTTCATCTTGAGCTTGGCCATGTAGTCAGGTTTATCTAGCATGAAGTTCTTCATAGTCTTGTTAATAGATTCCTCATCAACTTCACGAATATGTGCAGGCAGCATTAAGATTAGGAGGTTCTCAAATACTAAGAAGTTTGCTCTTGCAATGTTAAAGCCCTCTCCACAATATTCCTGTAGTTTAATGTAGTTGTAGTTATATCCTTTCTGAGTCTTATTCATCACTGGGTTATACTTTATCAAATTATGCATCTCTTTGAGGTAAATAAAGGGCTCAACTTCTCGTTTGAACCCAAACTTAGACTTCTTGTGTCCTAAGATATGTCCAAAGTCAATATGAAAAATAGTAAAGTTCTTTTGTTGCACACAAAGATTCCCTGAATGACGGTCTCCAAGGTCCAGCATGAAGCTAGTTACTATAGTTCCAGCCATGCTTCTGGAAAAGTGATCTAAGTACTTGCTCCATTCCTCTTCCTTCTTGCGGGCTTCATCTGATTTATCCAGCAGATCGTTGCTTTCGACTGTGTCATTTCTGTTGGTGTCGATTCTTCCGAGGATGCCCTTATTCTTTTGATTTTCTAAAAATGAAACTATAAATTTACCAGATTCCTTGCTTGGCTCATTGTCTTTATTTATTCTTAATGATAGTTTTGAGGTTGTTAATCAAACTATTCTCGAACAAGCAGTCCCAGAAGGAAGAATGCTTCTTGTGAATGGCCACCAGATCCTCCTTGTTACCTACAAACTCGATGTATCCAAACTTAAATCCAGTGGCAAGCACGGTGTAATCAGTAATGTTGAGGTTCAGAGACTCTTCGAGACACAACTGGTCAAAAATCTTGAGGCATTGGATCACAATTTGGTCTTTCCGAAGGTCATCTCCCTTCTTAAATAATGCTTCAATAGTTTTCTCAGGTTCTGAATTCTTGCCATTATTTTTCTCTTCTTCAAGATCGTCATTTTCTTGGCCGACGACGCACTCCAGCATGAAGGGCTTCTGCTTCGAGGCAAGAATTTTGAGCTTCTTAACTGATTTCAAAGGTATATGAGGAATATGGGGTAGCACAAAGTAATTGTTTCAAGCCGTCATAGCCCCTCTCATATTACTATTTGGTTCATTCTGAGGTGTCTTGTTTTTGAACACTAAATTTTGTATTATTCCAGGAATTTCTCTCAATTTTTGCCTTGAAGAGATCTAGCTGCTGGAGATAAATTTTGTTTATAAGTTTAAAAGATTGAAATTTGTAGCTTAAAGTTCTGCTTCATGAGGTTAGAGGTTAAAATATATCTTAAGGAAAGCTTCTCTAACATTTATTACTGGTATAAACCTTGGGTCATATTTTAAGAAAGCTATCATAACCATGAGCCTATATTTATTAATTTTCTAAATTTTTTCAGAATAGCCTGAAACTTCTAGTGATATATTGGAGAGGATCCCTAAATAGACTTCTCCGGGTTCACAAAGCATATTTTCATCATGTTTCAATGAACAAAATTCAAAAGAACTTATACTTGATTTCTCAGAATATTAACGAGGATTATAAAATGCTATAAAGCCTGTATAAAATGCCTCAGATTAATTCAAAATTCAATAGAGGTCTCAGAATAGCTAATCACAAATACCAGATTTGTGCTAAGGTTTTATGAACTTGGATACCTAGAAATAGAACCCTTCTGAAACCAATAGAGATCACAAGAAAATTTAAATGCACTTTTAGTCGATAGCTGGCACTTCTAAGCTAGATAGAGGAAGGGTTCATGTAGCACTGACATCTGAGCAAATTTGAGGAACCAGAGTTTAGCGATCAGGATTTGAATATCCAGAACAAAATTATTCAGTCAATCTAGGCCTTAAAATTTGTCAAGCAACAGAGAACTAGAAAATTAATAAGTCTTGGACTCTAGATCTTCCCTACAGCTTAATTATGGGATGTAAGAGCTTTCAGATTAAAATTTAGACTAAATTTCTGTTAATTTTAACGAAAAGTTGTTGCACTTAGCAAGTATGAAATAATGTTGTTATTCTTGTTGGCGACCATGCTAGACAAGCTATCCGAACTATCCCCTCAAGGATACGAATTTATCCCAAAATGATGCAATTTTCCTAGTCTAGCCCCACACAGATATGGGGACTGAAATTGTACATACCTGTCTTCAGCTCGAAGTCCAATCCTTCGCGAAACTCCTCATCTGTAGTGTTCTTCTTCTGACAAGCTAGAAGGTTTATTTTGATCATTTCATCATTAACAAATCATTGAAGATATAGGTCAGCTCTGAAATGAGCACCTAAGAATAAGAGCCTTTCATAATGCAAATAGAGTCTTTCAAAAGAATATGGGTCATAAAGTGAGGCATTCAGTGCCCAGAAATAAGCATGTCCAACAATTCAGGGGCTTCTTAAAGACCTTGTGAGTAACATTTGGCCCAAATCTGAGTAATGGTGAGCTTCGAATTTCAAAGCTTGCACTAGCTGAGGCATGAAATTAGCCAGCAAACGATTAGAGCATTTACTCAGCTTGTCCACAGCGAATTTTCTGACTAATGAATCTGATATTTCATGTTGCAAAAGACTTAAGGCATGGCTATCTGGAATATCAACCCAATTCACCAATGATTTTAATGCTTCATTTCTCATTGTACTACATCACCAGTTAACAGTCTTCAATATAATAGGCAGCCTATTGGGGTCATCTTGGTATTGGTGCCTGGACTCAAAAAGCTCAACTTTTTCAGCTCTAAAAATAAGATAAGCATGTTAGATAACTTACTTTTGAAATTTATACATATTCTCTGGTTCTTCTAAATAATCAATATAGGAGAATATACCTTTATCTTTTCTGGGCTCTCTACCATATACATATTCTGTGTCAAACTCCCATAGGCATACATTTAAAGTGAATCTTGGGTTATCTTCATCATCGATGATATTACACCCATAGCATGAGATGTCAGTCGGGAATGGCTTTAGAGGCCATAATACTAATTCCTGAGGGCCTTGCTTAAGCTTCCCATTCTGGTCAAACAGACTTATTCCAGCTGACCCTAGGCAAATAAGTTCGTAATTTGTGCTCATTATCCATACGTTGAATCCAAGCCTTGCTTCCTTTGGCAAGTACGAGAATTGCTATGGTGATACTCAAAACTTACAAATCTGTCAGACATATTAGTCAAGTACATGTCATAAATATCAAAGAACTCAGATGCTCGATTGTCGTGGGTCTTTGTAGTATCCTCTGCAATGTAGATATGATTATCTCTAGTTTTGGCAACCAAATTAGGCCCAACCAAAATCATTGTCTCTATAAGGATATATATAAACTCTGAAGCATCTTTCTCTTTGACATTCTGATGCACTTTATCAGAGAATAATTTGAGAGTTTTGATTTCCCCTTCCGATAACCTTGATAAGCTCTTTTGAGAATCTATAGTAAGAATGAATCTGAAAAGAGCTAGGTTTAGCTAAGAAGTCACTGTTGTGCACTAATTTCTTATCTATTAAGACTCTTAAACATTATTTGATCCAACTAGATTATTTGGCTTCTTATATCTATCAATATACCCCAGATAGCTTAGTTATTGAACAAATTACCTTCATCTAGCCCTTCAAATTCGTTTGAGTTATCAAAGAATGCTTCAGCAATACATTCCTTAGGGATTTTGACTTCGTCTCTGCACACAAATTTAAGTAACTGATGAAGGCCATCCCATCCCATGAGAGGGATAGTGAGGAATTCATTAATATTGCCTGTGATGATCTTGCTCATCTCTTCTCTATCTGTCATGATGCCTATCATTTTTGTCTTGGAATAGTCATTTCCAAAATCCTGGAGATCTACAAGTCAGACTAAGTCCTTACTCTCATAGTAGCGATTAGTGTCATTTTCGTCCTATAAAGTTAGAGGATGGGTACCTTCCACTGCGAATCTGTAGATGTCCAGAAGTAGACTCTAAATAATAAAGTTACACACAGTTTTATTCGGCAAAGAGCTTTCATAGAGGAAATTTAATGAGCTTGTGGGTGAACCAATTCGGCATTAAGATATAGAGGTAGTTCCTTACTAGTTTCGATGCTCTAGAACACATAAAAGCTACTCTTGGGTTTCAAAGTATAATTTTCAAAGAGTACTAACTTTATAAGATCAAATAGTGGGAAATAAGTTATAAGACATGTTGTAATTAAAAATTCACCTGTCTTCATCAGTCTCTTCATCGCCATGGGATTTCTTCCTTTTATCTATACTGTTGTTATAAATAATACCTTCGGCTTCAAGTTCTAAGCTTTCCTTCCTAATGACACACTCATATACAGATTCAAAGTTAATGAGTGTTTCTGTTCCAAAGAAGTAAGAGAGGATTCCTTTAACTTTCAGGATATGCTTTTCCTTATTGAATGCTCCATTAGTGATCTATAAACGATCAAAAGATCTCTACCATCTCTATTTTGGCTTCTAAATCTTGAGGTGTCTCAAAGACGTTGATCTGGCAGTAATACTTGGGTTTCTTGACATTCATCCCTATTCTTGCTCTAGCATCTAGCTCAAAGATTATATCTAATGTATCTATCTTGAAGTCAAACGATTGGATCTATGCGTAACTATAGAGGCGTACTTCATTAACGTAACGAGGCCTGCTATTCATCTTGGCGGTATTGCCAACGGTCTTGTTAAACCTCATATTTCTGAACTGTTGAACTGCATTATGATCAAAATTTATGGTATATTGACATCCATTAGTGTATCCTTGGTACTCTTCACTATTTGGGGCATTTTGGGCTTCTTGCATTTTGTGAAAGATACCTCCAAATTTTCCTACAAGTTATAATAAAGGTTACCATTTTGGAGATATTTCTTGTCCTCAAAATTGAGAAGGTGAGGGAGCCCAATAGTCCCAATTGTCATTCTGTCTTTATTAACCTTTTTAGGGTCGACTCTGAGCATGTATCACACCCATTGAAATTCTTGTTTGATTTTGTCGTACTTAACATTCTCAGCTAAAATGGATCAACTTCATCCAGATTTCAAAAATCTGAAGCCAGGAAACTGACTTACTGTATCTTGTAGCATTAATATTGAAGAAATCAATTGATTTCAGATTGACAGCCCCGTGCCTGATATTCATCGCAGAATCCTTCCTACAGATTATGAGGATGCTTACTCTTTCAACTGGATACTTTCAAGTCCAACTGCTTCTTTAGACTCTTCTTCTGAGGAGGAATACTCACCCTCTTTATTCTCTTCTTTGCCTTCCCTTGTTCTTCTGTATCTATGAGTAGATCTGAACTCTGAATTCATCTTAAAGTTAGAGGCTGAGCTATCATCTTGTGAGTACTCTCTTGGAGGATCATTATTGCTATCCCTAAGCCTGGAAACAGTCACATCAGATACCCTATGAAGATCTGTAGATGCCCTGATCGACCTCTCTGGACCTGAAGCTGGGCTGACTATATAGATTTGATCATGAATCTTACCTTCCTCTTCAGAACTCTCTGAATCATCCATTCCTAGAATAAAAAGGTGATCAGCTAAACTAGCCTGACTTACCGCTACTAGGAGTGCTGTCCGATAAAAAGGCATTTTGAAATTTATCGCTTGTATTAAGAATCCTCGCATTCATTTTTCAATAAATTATAAACTGAAAGGGGTTTTGGGGTTTTGGGGTTTTGGGG